CATCCGCTCTAAGCATCAGGATCTCCATCTCCTTGTGGTACTCATCCACACTCCGGTTGCCCTGAATTAGGGTTTGTAGTCGGTGGTACAAATCCCTAGTATAGTGTCCAGGTACAAAGCGGGTGCGCATCATGGCTCGAAGTTCGGGCCATGGAACGAGCTCAGGGAGTCCATTTCTCCTTCTAGACTTCTTGATTTGGTCCCACCAAACCACAGCGTACTCAGTGAATTCCATGGTTGCCAATTGGACCTTTTGCACCTCGGAGTAGTTTTGGCAAGAAAAGACCATTTCGATCTTGGATAACCATTCGAGAAAGGTCTCGGGATCGGACCGTCCTCTGAATTCAGGGATTTTCATTTTGATCCCCTTGAATACATCAGCGGGTCCAGTCGGGTTCCTTCGTCTTGCCCGAAAGGGAGGTTCCTCGTCATCATCATCATTGTTATTGGAACCATCGGACGATCCTCCACTTCCCTTCGCCTTCGCATGGACTTAGTGGTTTTTGGTGTTCCAGAAACTTGGAGTTGCAGCAACTCATCTTGAATGGCTACTAGCATGCCTTGGAAACGTCTCTCCATTTGCTCCATCATTTGTTCAAAGTCCATGGGACGAGATACTCCTTCGTTGCCGCTAGACATGAAGTCTCAAGTGTACCTGCAAGGGTTAGTAGCAAAGAAAGGGAAAAAGGAGAAAGAAACGTTTGTCTCCCCTCTTCTTTTTTTTTTTTTTTTACTTCACCCCCTAAGTGTATACTCTCACACTCGTGTATGGTCACTCAGATCACTCTAATGAGCTCACCAAAATTTCTCACAACCCCTTGCAAACCTTGAAGAAAGTAGAACTCCTCAAGTGCTCAAGTGTAGCCAAAAAACAAGTTCACGCTAGAATTTGAGGTTCGTAAGAGTAGAGATTTTCTTGGAAAACAAAATTAGGACACTAAGAATGGAGTGGTAGAATATATTCAAGACTAAAAACTGGAAAAGGAATTGACACAAAAGCTAAAAAAATTAAGAACGACACTAAAAACTCTAACCGACAAGGAAAATGGTCCTTTTGCTTTGCTGGAATTTTTTTTTTTCTCTGGGCCGTTTGCCAAAATATAGCAAGTGATATAGCTAACAGATAGGCAGGAGTTTAGGCACTATGCAGCTATAAAATAGGGAACAAGATGCGGCTAAAAGTTAGCCTATCAGTTTTGGAAGTCTTTGGCTTTAGAAATCTTTCGGGTTTTGGAGATTAGGAAGCTGCCTTTTTTTTTTTTCTTGCTTGGTGTTACCGATTCCCCTTACTTGGTTGTGGAACAAGATGGGCAGTTTATTTTGTTCCTTTCAAGATCAAATTGGCTGCTGCAACAATTTTTTTTTTTTTTTGTTTATACAGCCAAAAGATGAACTATGGGTTCGGCTCAAACACAAATTTCCAGGTTTGGTTGCAGCTTTGGTGCGGCCTGTTTTGGTGATTTTAATGTTTGGGCAAGTTGTGATTCTTGGTTCCCAACAATTAGAGCTCAAAGTTCAGGTATGTTTCAATGTCACGCATAAGAAAATTTCAATAATTCAAGATCAAACCACAATTTCCAGCAAATAACTTCAAGAATATCAAGGCTAATTTCCAGATTTCAAGAATATCCAGAATCCCTTCAAGATCTTCGTGAAACCAGCAAATTTGACGCAAGAATTTCAAGAACAAGGTACCAATACTTTCCTAGATGATAAGCAACTCAAGAAAAACGACATAAACAGATTTGGAAACAACTAAAACTCAACAAGAAAGACGAACAGATTTTGGAAACTATCGAAACTCAGCAAGAAGGAATGAATAGATTTTTTCTTCTTTTTTTTTCTAACGAGATAGATACAAAAGACACGAAAAGAGGGATAAAAAATGATGTTACCAACAAGCTAGCTCTGATGCCAGCTGATACGAATCTCGTTGGTGAGAAGATTCGCGACCCAAGATCACTTGTTGGATTTGACTTCGAACGCAAGAACGGTAGCAGCGGAAACCCTACGACCCCTCTAATCCCCGTGACTACGAACTTATTGATATTATCTCAACCCGTAACCAAACGAATTAGTGAACCTCAGGCAAGTGTAGAAGGCGCCACAATTCAAGTGCGATTCTTGAATTGATAAGCCGAACAAGAACACTAGAGTATAACTCTAAGTTGTTCAAGGTTTGCTCGAAAGCTATGGAGAAAACTCTCTCAATATTTTTATCATAAAAGTGTCCCCCTTTTATTGATGTAATATGGTGCCTTATATAGGCTACAAGTGAAAACCCTAATCTAGTAGAAAATGGACTAAGGGTGCAGTGGATATGGGCCCTAATAAGGGAGGCTTAATCCCCGACGGGTTGGGACTCATGTGGCCTTTCCTTCCTAGGCAGCCCACTCTAGTAAATAATAATGAGTAAATTAGCAATCCTACCCTTGGCGATTCTACGTGCAATATGCACTTAGCCAATTATTCAATCTAATCAACTAATGTGGAAATAACTAACTATGATGCTAAAACGGAAATTAGGGTTTGGCAAAACCCTACTCCTCAGGTGTAGCTTCAATGCTCATTATCGGACGCGACCACCTTCACTTGAGTGTATGAATCCTTCAAAGGACTTGTGTATGGCCTGAATAAGTACATTGAGTTACTCACGAAGTTTCTTTGCGCGAGCCTTAGTAATGGGTCCATTTGGGGCGTGCACGTGATCCTCAACTCCTCGATTACTCGAGCCATTGTTGGCCTGCCCACGTACCATGATGCTATCAGAAACTGTAGGATGATTTGAATGATTATGATCCTATGCCTACTTGTTCTTGTAATGGATGCAAGTGTAACTTCGTTACACGGCTTCAACAAGGTCAAGAGGAAGAGTGGGTGCATCAATTCCTCATAGGGCTTGATGAATCATCTTATAGTAATGTCCGTTCCAACATCATCGCTTCAGGATTTATTCTCAAGTTACGGAGTAAGAACAAGTGCAGGTAATGACTCGAGTAGCTCCCAATCGGTCTGATCCAGTGAGCTTTGCCATGATAGCCAGCCAAGCCCTCGGAATTCAAGGGGACCGAAAAGACGATGGAGTAGTTTGCTCTCACTACCAGAAACCGGGACATAGCATGGACACATGCTTTCATCTTCATGGCTATCCCGACTGGTGGCCAGGAAATTCGACTTAAGGAAGAGGCAAAAGACGTGGTAACCAGGGGCGTGGTCGTGGTGGAGTAGCACGGGCTCATGTTGCACAAGGGCAGTAGGGGCGGCTGCTAATGTTTCCCATGGGAGACTACTTGATGATTCTGATAAAGCTGGATTGGAGAACTTGAGCAAAGCTGATTGGGAGACTTTGAAGTCTCTCTGGAACACTCACATGAATAATACATCAGTTGCTCAGCCAAGGCTTAATGGTAAGGCATATTTACAATGGTTGTTTGACACAGGTGCTTCGCATCATATGACGAGAGAGGAAACTGCATTTGTAGAGCTTCAAGGAATACCTCCTTGTCCCGTGAAAATGCCAAACGGTGAATACGTTATGGCAACAGGAGAAGGAACAGTTCTTGTAGGAAAATTATCTCTCAAGGGTGTTTTATATGTCCCTGAAATACGATGCAATTTGATATCTGTTTCAAAATTAGCCAGTGACAAAGTTCATATTTTGAAATTCACTGATCGTTTATGTGTTGTCCAGGACCGCACTTCGAGGATGCTGATTGGAGTGGGTGAAGAGCTTGAGGGGCTATATGTCGCACGAAGGGAGCCTCTGGTCAATGCTCATGGAGCCGCTGCAGTCAAGAATATGGGTTTGTAGCATAAAAGGTTGGGACATCCCTCTATGCGAGTCATAGAAAAGATCCCTACAATAGACGGTAGTATCGAGATAAATAAAGGTGCTCATGAACCTTGTGACGTTTGTTTCCGAGCAAAACAAACCCGTATTCCTTTTCCTATTAGTGACCATAAAGCTAGTGATATATTTGAATTAATTCATTGTGATTTGTGGGGAGCTTATCGAGAGGCTAGTTTTTGTGGTGCTACCTATTTTCTAACTATTGTTGATGATTGTTCTCGTGGTGTATGGGTTTATTTGTTAAAAGGGAAACATGAGGTCCCATGTGTTGTTAAGAATTTTTGGCTATGACCGAGAGACAATTCAATAAAGAAGTCAAAATTATACGCAGTAACAATGGTACAGAGTTTACTTGTTTAGCTGATTATTTTAAGGAATGCGGCATTATTCATTAGACTTCCATGGTTGGGGACACCTCAACAAAATGGAAGAGTTGAGAAGAAACATCGACACATTTTGAATGTTGGTAGAGCGCTTCGTTTTCAGGCTAACTTACCTATTCAATTTTGGGGAGAATGCATTCTCACTGCAGGATATTTAATCAATCATACTCCATCATTGATTTTGGGTGGAAAAACTCCATATGAAATTTTGTTTGGAAGCCCTCCATCTATTTCTCATCTTAGAGTATTTGGATGCCTATGCTATGCTAAGAACATTAATCGGAAGAAGGATAAGTTTGCAAGTCGAAGTCATAAGTGCATATTCATGGGTTATTCTTATGGTAAAAGGGTGGAGGGTGTATGATCTAGATAGGAAGGTTTGTTTTGAAAGTCGAGATGTTGAGTTTGTTGAGCACGTGTTTCCTTTTGCCCATACGGACTCCGCAAGGTCGGCAACTCCAGATCCTCTGCCTACTGTCATTGAGCCTACTATATTGGAGGATGTGCCTGAGATTGAGGCACCTCCGCCAGCCTCTGAATATGATGGATAGTCCGTGGAAGAGGGTACGACAACAGATGGGATCGTACCAATACCTGAAGTTGCAGAGGTTATAGGTGCAGCGGACGATCTTGGTCGCGGCAAACGAGCGCGACAGCCTTCAGTTCGTTTGCATGATTATGTGTTGTATACAGCCGCCCTCAGTTCCTCGAGCTCTCCTTCCTCTTCCTTGGCATCCTCAAGTACGCCCTACCCCATCACAAACTATATGAATTGTGCTAAATTTTCTCTGTCGCATCGTCGATTCGTGGCTGCAGTAACTACAGGGATTGAACCAACCAGTTTTAAAGAGGCAATGCAGCATTCATATTGGCGTGAGGCAATGAGAAAGGAGGTTGAGGCTCTAGAGGATAATGGGATATGGACAGTTGCTACTTTGCCTATGGGAAAGAAGGCTCTTGGTAGTAAATGGGTCTACAAAATCAAGTATCATACAGACGGAACAATCGAGCGATACAAGGCACGCTTGGTTGTTTTCGGGAATTACCAGATCGAGGGTCTTGATTATACTGAGACGTTCGCACCTACTGCAAAAATAGTCACGGTTCGTACCTTCTTGGCAGTAGCAGCGATCCGTGCGTAGGAATTGCATCAGATGGATGTGCACAATGCATTTTTGCATGGCGATCTTGAGGAGGAGTTTATATGCGTTTTCCACCAGGTTTTACGCACCCGGAGGCGATAAAAGTGTGTCATCTGCGGAAGTCTCTCTACGGGCTGCGACAGGCACCGCGGTGTTGTTTGCCAAGCTGGCTGCGGCTCTGGTTCAATATGGATTTCAGCAATCTGGCTCAGACTATTCTTTGTTCACGTTTCGGCGTGGCGAAGTTCAGTTGACCATTTTGGTCTATGTGGATGATCTAGTGATAGGTGGACTGATAGTGATGCCATTCATGCGTTTTAAAACTTACTTGAATGATTGTTTCCACATGAAAGACCTTGGTAAATTGAAGTACTTCCTTGGTCTTGAAGTAACGCGAAATTCGACTGGGATTTTTCTTTGTCAGAGAAAGTATGCTCTCGATATTATTTCTGAGACCGGTTTGTTAGGTACTAAACCTGCCGGCACACCAATGGAGCAAAATCATCACCTCGCTTTAGCTAAGGACGAGACCCTTCCTGATCCTATGCCTTATCGGCATCTTATTGGTCGTCTTATCTACCTGACGATTACTCGCCCTGAATCGTCTTACTGTGTATATATCTTGGCACAATTTCTGTAGGAGCCACGGCATAGTCATTGGGAAGTGGCCCTTCGTGTTGTTCGTTTCTTAAAACTTCATCCTGGGCAAGGTCTTTTGCTACGCTCTGATTCCTCTCTTCATCTTACAGCTTATTGTGATGTGGATTGGGCGAGTTGCCCCTTGACTCGACGTTCTTTGACGGCATATTTTGTCTTTCTTAGGGATTCTCCAATTTCCTGGAAAACGAAAAAACAGCATACTGTATCTCGATCTTCGGCTGAGGCAGAGTATCGATCTTTGGCCTCTACGACTTGTGAATTGAAATTGCTCAAGGGTTTGTTAGCTTCTCTTAGCGTCCCTCACTCATCTCCTATGCGAATTTATTGTGATAGCTAGTCCGCTCTTCACCTTACTCACAACCCTGTGTTTCATGAACGCACCAAGTACATCGAGGTTGATTGTCACTTTGTTCGTGATGAGATTCGTCGTGGTATCATTCTTCCTCAATTTGTATCCTCGTCTCACCAACTAGCTGATATCCTTACCAAGGCTCTCGGCAAACGTTCGTTTGATGACATTCTTTGCAAGTTGGGCATTTCCAATCTTCATGCTCCAACTTGAGGGGGGTATTAGTGTGTATACTTGGTGGCTGGGCTGAAGTTTCGACTATCTTGTGTCTATTAGTATCTATCTATATTTGGTAGTTTTGGTAATTGCACATAATTAGGTAAATTGGGGCTGAAGTCACGGGAGCCTGGGGTGCACATTGTACTTGTATATATAGTGCAGATGGCAATGAGAAAAACATGAAACTTTTCCCAATTCTTCTGATTTTACAGCTTTCAACCTTGAGGCCATTTCCCACTTCCATTACAAATTTACCTTTCCATCTTGTCGGGAGTGTTACACCCAAAGCATGTTAAAGAGTTCTGCTGGGAAATGCAATTGTATTGGTCCCAACGGATGCCGCGAAGCATTCTAAAAATTGGTTTGCAATCCATTCCCCGCAATAAAAAAATAGTAGTTTGACTCATAATAACAATAATATAATCTTGGATTAGGCAACTTTTTATTTGCTTTAGTTTTGGTCGAAGAGCCAAGTTACCCTTGAAGCAAAGTTGATTCATTTTGGTCTTGGAATTGGAATGCATCACAAGTTCTATTAGATTCAACATTCTAATTCACAAGCTTTGGGTTGCCTTCTTGAAAGCTAATCCAGTCAGCTTATAAACACTCAAGTTGCCAGAGTAATAGACATACACTTATAGCCCAAAACATTTCATAACACAATTTAATCTTGTATGCACTTCTGACTACACAATTAATTGAGAAAATGATTAATCCATCAGTGCTAACAAAAGTTTTACATGAACAATTCTAGATTATGTAAGTTAATATCAAACATGCTGTGCAAATTGAGCTCGCTCATGTATGTAATATTTTACACTGATAGTGTAATAATATAAAAGATTAATCCAAAAAGAAAATAATTAGAAGAAAAAATCCGAAAGGAAAAGTAGAAGGATAGAATTTTGAGGTGTCAAAATGGGTGATTTGAACGGATTTGGTTTCATTAAAATGAATAATGGGTATAAATCAGTCAACTCATTTATACCCATTTAATTAGATGGGTATAAATGGGTAAGTCAAAAAATGAATTGGATAACCAAAACACCAATTTATAACCCATTTATTTTAACTTTTTGTTTTTGTAAACTCATTTAAATTCATTTTTGCAAACTAAACCCATTTATTTTAACTTTTTGTAAACTCATTTAAATTCATTTTTGCAAACAAGTTATCAATTTATACCACCCTTTGCACCTATCATTAGTTTTAAATATTTACTTATAATACTCAATAAGCCTAATTACCAATTTTTTTTCTATCTGTACATTATGTCGCAAAATTATATAGTATTTAATAATTAAACAATAAGAATATAAAATTTTGAACTAAATACAATAAAAGTTAACATATAAACTTAATCCAAAAATTTTGAACCCCTATCATTTTTTCCGTGTGTAAATTTAAAATTTCATTATGGAAAGGTAGGAAAAGAGGCTAAAACTTATCATAAATTGGTAATACTGAAAAATGAGCAAGTTAATAAACTAAAATAAAATAAAATGATAAGATAAAACGAACAAATAATAATAACAATGACACAAAGGTAGTTAACATCATGACAAAATAAAAAATCTGAAAAAAAAATGGGTGAGGGAAGAGAGGAGACTTGGGGAAAGACAATTTTAAATGGGTTCATTAGATTTGACAGGGTTATCCAATAATACCCATACCCAATAAATGGATATTATTGAACAACTCATTTATACTCGTATGCAAAAATTTAAGTTACCCATACCCATCTATTCATGGATGGGTATGGGTAAATTTAGCTAAATATGATTGTTTGCCACCTATAGACAGAACCAAAATTACATAGTTACTGATTTTTTTGCATTAAAATTTAGGAAAAGTCTGAAGTAAAGATTATTATGGTAACGAAACTTTTTTAAATACTTTTAGTGATCATTTGATTACCTATTGGACCAGTCACATAAATAAGATAATACGTAAAAATTTGGTTAGTAAGTTTTGCATAAAAAATAGTAAGTTAACTTGATAAATTAGTAACTTTTATGTCTCAAAAAGTAAATTGGAATAAATATGAAATTTACTTTTTTAAAAAAATAAATTACTACTCTATATTTGAAACTTACCTTTTGGAGCGTAAATTTAGTTCAAGTAATAGTAAGTTTTTATAGATTAATAGTAAATCTTATTGATAGAACAGTGAATTCGGTTAATGGTCAAAACTTACTAGTTTATGGCATAAATTTACTATATTACTTAAAAGACTTATATGAAACAAGTATTAGAAAGTTGATTTGAAATAATGCTAAGATTTTTTATTAATGATTGATACTTACTATTATATTTAGTAATTTCTTGAAATGTAAATGTATGATACATGATTGTATGTATCATTTATAAATATGATGTGTTTAAAGCATTTTAAATATACTATGAAAACTATTTTTTCACATGACTTTATAAAATATGTAAGAATTATTTGTCATATTATAAATTCTGAATTATTTTTGAATTTGTGAAAGGTTAGAAAGTTTGGATGATAATAACAACAAATCTTTCGAGTTATATATAGAATAGCACTTATCTATACATCACAATTTTGATATATTAATACCTATGAGTATAATAAAATGGTAAAGTTTTAATAAATTTATTTTCTGGGTCACAAGTATGAAAGTTAATGTTGTATTAACGTAGCATAATCTTTTAAAATCATAGTAAATTTGCCCATATATTAAGTTCTGTAACTTTCAAATATACTTTGTATCATTTACATTATCGATTTGTTTGCATTTTTTTAATCAAACTCATTTTTTATTGGCAAATGGTACGTAAATTATTATAAAATATCATAATTTTTTATAGGTGAATGGTATGTAAACTGCTAAAATTGTCGATTCACAAATTACTAAATCTTACTATCATATGGCATATATTAGTCTGATCGACTAAAAAAATACTATAATCATGTGTATGTTGATTATTGATTTGAAATTTGCACCACTGTCACTATTTCTATTATTACTGATACAAGTTCTTCTAATCAACATAAAACAAAATCAAATAGCTTTCCTTTTGTATGCAGTAGTTATGTTTAGTAGAAAATTACTAAAAGATTTTTGCAATACATAATTTCTCCTGAAATTAGTAACATTTTCTAAATAAATTGGAATAATTTGTAAAATATGTTATTTTTTTCACCAGTATAAACAAAAGAATTTTGCACTATTAAAAAACAAATGGAAGAGAGGAGGATGGCATAAATATAAAGGTGAGCAACTACATATGTAGCAGCACATCATTAGTTAAGGTATGATTTGTTTAAAACATCAGTAATTTATTTGTTGGTCGATATACATTGCATATTATTTTTCTACAAATGGAAATACAATTTAGTATATACTAATTATCCATTAACAGAATGTGTAGTTTGAACAAGATCAATTGAGCTCATATTTCATTTTTTTGGTTATCATTTATTTTGTTACTTAGGTTGAATATTTACATTTGAATAGAGTATTACTATCAGAACTTCAATTATTCTTAATAACACTATTTTTTTTGCTGACAAAAGTTGGTCTAGACAATTAATTGTCAATAACAACAATTGCTAAAATATATTTTTGTTAAAAATATTTTGAAAAATGACAATCTAAGTCCCAAAAATTTTCTTTTTTGTTTTTTGAAAATATCAACTTGTTAATTCAATTCAAAATGATATTATAATAAAAAAAATATTACTCCACAAATTGTCATCAATGAGTAGAAGTGACATACAATATGGTAAAACATCTCTCATACATTTGAGATGGATATGTCATACACAATAGATTACATGTGTGCATGTGATTTTTTTGTTTAGCTGTTGGATCTTATTTTTTATTAACATCTTCCCAAGGAAAAGAAATCTAGATCTTTTTTTAAAGTAGTTTAACCCTATTTTATATTTGTGAGGTCATTAATGTTATTTTATTGAACCATTGGACTAGGCTTATAAGTAGGTCAAGTATTTATGTGTCCGATATGGAATCATAACTCCCAAACTAGTTGCTTAATTCGCATCTATGCCCGTACTAGTGTTGGACTGATAATTAAAATAGAAAATTGCAGCAAAAAATAATGTTACGGGAAAAGTTCAAATGAGTAGGACGTTTGGTGATTTTAACCCAAAATTTTAAAAAAAAAGATAAACTTTTTTTTGGTTTTGAATTCTAAAGTGTTTGGTTGAGATAGAATTCTTTATTAAAATTTGAAACGGTTGAAAATTCCAGAGATAAGTGATAAGATGACTTTTATTAGCGATTAGTTTTAGTTTGAACAAGAAAGGTCGATGAATTAGGGCACAACATTTTTTTCTCGCGTTTTCTTACTTTTCTCTTATTACTCAACAACAAAACCTAAACTTCATTCTCAACATTGGATATAAATTGATGGTTTGATGT